CTTGTTCATTCCATAGTACTTCAATGTATCCATATACGTAGTGCCCAGAATATGCTGATAAGTCTTCGAATCCATGTTACCATCGTATATTTTGCATGCGTATCCTGGTCCAAATCCTGTTATACAACCCCAAAAGTTAATTTTGCCACCGCCATGCTTCACTGTTACGTCGATATGATGTGGCCGCAATACGTCATTAGGAGTTGTCCAGTAGTACTTTACTCCATCGGATCCCCAAATGTTGAACTTGGTTTCGTCTGAGAACACTACTTGACGCCATTGTTCAATTGACCAGTTTCGGTACTTCATGGCCCACGCTAATCTTCTCTTCTTGTGCTGCTTTGTAAGGAGTGGCTTTTTTTTCTTCAGTTTTGCGTGAAAGTTCATTGATTTAAGTACGTTTACTGCTGAACTATATGAGATAGAATGTCCAAATTCTAATAACTTCTTGTGAACCTCTTTGGCAGTCCTTAACTGGCCTCGGATAATAAGAACTCTGATATACTGCTTGTCTACATCTGGGATAATGGTACGTCGATCTGCCGGTAATGGTGATTGCTGTGGGAAAAATCGCTTGCGATACCTCCTAACTGTACTAGCATGAATTCCAAGATCATCTGCAATATCCTTTGGTTCTCTGTTGTTCAGAAGTGCTGATTTGATGTCATTTTGCATGTCTTGGGATAACGATTTAGGCATAATGGCTGAATTTAATAAGGAAAGTTGAATACAATTTAAATAGTACTTAATAGCGAAAAGGTATGACCTTATATATAGTAAAATTATCAGGAATGCTAACATTCCACAAAACTATTGCAAACAGAGCCATCGAAGCATTCCATTGCAAAAAATGTTGCAAAAAACGAAATTGAAACTATAACTATAACTAGTCCAAAATGAAAATTTTAATTTTAGACGTCTCCTCAGAGCTGACTTTACGGAATGCATGGGTCATACTGTACCAATATTACCAGTAGGGGCTAATGTACTATCGTGAGCAATATGAGGATGAGAGCACTGTTGCTTAAGCCTCGGACACTCTGCAAAGCTAAAATAAGAAAAGGTTGCTCGTATTTTTGTAACTACTGTATATTAATAGCATCATCATAATTTATATCCTCATCTTTTATCTCGTTATTTATTTTAATAAAACCTGTTTTAATTGTAAAATTTACAGTGACTCAAAAAACTGGCAACATGTTTCGCACTTTTGAGTTTCGGCATGCGTAGTTCATTCATTTCTTACTGTATTATCTTGAAAATTTAGGTAAACAGTTCAAGGCTTATGTAGATTTTGTTGACCAAATTTGGTAATGATCCAAATAAAACTCAGCCAGTGACTGGCAGCTGAATTTGACCAAAACATGTTGCCAGTTTTTTGACCACCTGCTAAAAATAAGATAATCATTTATTTATTTATTTCTAGTACTCTGTCCAGTATCCTTTCGGCTTGGTAACTGCTTCTATTCTATTTGGCATGCTATCAATCACCTTTAGACAATCTTCTTTGGTAATTTTCTTATACCAAGTGTCAGTTATTCGTTCGAACAACTCATTCACCCCTCTTGGTGCTGTATCGTACTCGTTCAGCCGCCTCTTAAGCAATGCCCACATATGCTCGATGGGATTCAGGTCTGGAGAGTTAGCTGGCCATTCCAGGACCTTATACTCTTGCTGGCTGAGGTGTTCCTTGACAACTTTCGCCGTGTGCTTAGGGTCGTTGTCATGCTACAGTGGCCCACAAAACCGTACCAATGTTTGCT